GGGGGGGGGGGGGGGGGTCCTTATTCTGGTTATAATGTAATATTACCCAAAACCCTATTCTACTACTTAAGGCCCCTACATTAGCACCGGGGTTTTGGATCAGGTTTTCCACGGAACTACACGGCAAATATCATGGAAGGCAAAGCTTTCAAGCATTGCTGCACTTGTTGATTTCTGCGTGTTTTATGAAGCTGGCATTTTAGACCAAGGTGCAATACTTCCGAACTGCAGCAAGAGCTTCAGGCCTCTGATGCTCACAGCCCTCCATAACCTCTAAACCCCAAAATCTCAGGCCCTGAACCCTAGACCCCAGCCCCGAAACCTTGATCCCTAGTCCTTCACACCACAACACCGCAACCAACGATGTTATGAGGATAGCTACTGCTATCGTCATTGTTATGATTATGGTGATGGTGAGGATGATATGCATATTGTTTACTATTATTCTCAGGTTCATTCTTCTTGTTCGTACTGTTAGAATCACTGAACCCTTCAATCTGCAAATCTCAAGGCCCTAAGTGCACATTGATACGTCGTCGGTTTAGGGTCTAGCGTTAAGGGATTAGGGTTTAGGGTTTATAAGTCGTAAGCACCGAGATTTCGATGCCTCCCAATCCGAAACCCGTTACGACACCCAGCCTAAACCGCAGCAGTCTCGCCCGAAGTCGTCTCCTTGTGCCGCAAACCCTCAACCATAAATGCCGGACCCTCAACACTAGCTGCTAGCTCCTAGACCAAATAGGTAGCCTTAGCAATTTTCTTGAGGATTCCTTATCATAAGTGTAGTAAGATGCGCCCCCCTCCCAAGCCGTGTTCGGCTTCTGAACGCACCTACATAGAACCTTTGTAGACCCCTTCTAGAACCCTAACAAAGGAACCAAGAACCCTTATCGACCCTCCATAGAACCCTTTAAACGGAGCCTAAACCCTAGACCCTAAACCCTTCAAGCGGAGCACCTAAACCACGGACCTTAGATTCGCCTGGCCCGTCTTCAGGAGACCATCGAGGCTTTGGCGGGGAGGCTCGTGCTTAATGCAGCCTCCTTCACTGTGGCGACCTCAGAGCTCCGGAAAAAGGGGGGGGGGGGTGTCCAGACCTTCCAAAATCCTTTAGTTGAGGAATATACGTTTTAGTATATAATCAGGATCCAAAATATATAGTTTTAAGGTATCTTCCCTTAGTTAAGAGATTCTGGAAGGCCTGGGCGCGAAGACAAAGAAATGAGTATATCATGAGGTACCCCGAAGCCCTATGTTCTAGTTGTTGAGGCCCGTATGCTAATTTGAGGTTGCTGATTGGCGCCGCCCTCTCAAGTTTCTTGACACGTGAGTCTCATGCAGACACGAAGACGCGGATCCCGTGCACTTTGAGCTCAAAGTGAAGCGGCGCTGCAACACCTTTCCACACCACAAACAAGTGCAAGCTTGAAGGGCGCGGCAGCACGGAGCTTTTGAGCAGGAACCCAGCTATGTAGGGGCACGAATAACTAGAATAGGGTTCTGCATGCTGTAAACTCATAGTATACCACAGGGACTATAAGGGGATACTTACTACAAGTTATCAATCCTGTGCTCTATGATAATTATCAGCATCTTGAACCCCAAACCCTCACGCCCTAGGCCTTCAACCATCTACTATGCCGCAAACGCCTGAAGCCTACACCCTGACCCCTAAACCCTAAACCCTGAACCCGAAACCCTGAACCCGAAACCGTAAACCCTAAACCCTAAACCCTAAACCCTGAACCCGAAACCGTAAACTCTAATCCCTAAACCCTAAACCCTAAACCCTAAACCCTGAACCCGAAACCCTGAACGCCTAACCAGGTGCCTTCCACCGAGGAGACACAGTCCATACGAGGAGCCGGAGTCGCTTAGCCTTTTTGATTTTGGAGCTTAGGATTCACAGTGGTAGGGTTTAGGGTTTAGGGTTTAGGGGTTGAGGGATTTAGGGGGATCATGGGACTTGGTAGGTAATAAGTCCCTTAATTGGGGTTATAAGTATAGTTACCCTAATTATAACCCTACTTACTAAGTCCCATGATCTAAGTAGGATTCACAGTGGAAGGGTTAAGGGTTTAGGGCTTAGGGTTCAGGGGTTTAGGGGTTTAGGGGTTTAGGGGTTTAGGGGTTTAGGGGTTTAGGGGTTTAGGGTTTACGGCTTTGGGTTTAGGGGGTGAGGCAGCTTTGGTCATGGTGGAGGCTCAATTTGTTATTTCTGCCTACGGTTCTGGTGTTGCCGGTTTGGGCTTGTTCCGTTGCATGACACAAAGACTCATAAGAGCCATGTTACATCCTGCATCCCTCAACCGAGTAATGCGACAGGACAACAAGTCCACTCAGATCTACCCCGGGCCTCTGGGCCACCCCCTAAACCCAAAACCCCAAACCCTAAACCCTAAACCCCACCCTCCGAAGCCAGGTTTACGTGCTTCTGAGCACCATGAACCATTCCTGTTCACCGGCCGTGCGGCTGGAAACCTCAGCAGCTACGGGTGCCGAGGTGCCAGGGCTCGGAAGCAAAAGGCTTACACTGACGGTTGAGGGTTTAGGGTTTAGGGTTTAGGGTCTAGGGTTTAGGGTTTAGGACACGAAACCCCGAGAAAGTTGGAAGATGGATTTAGGATGACTGGTGCTGGGATTCCCTACACTTTAGCTTAAGGGGCACTAGGCAAATGATGTTCCAACTTTTTAGCTGTCCTTAATCCCCCTAAACCCTAAACCCTGAACCCTAAACTCCAAAACCCCTAAACCCCTAAACCCTAAACCCTAAAGCCCCGCAAAACCCGGACCGTTGATAGTGCTGTACCACAGCAGGCCTAAATTCCCAATGATTAAATATTATTCTTTTGGGTGTTCCTTTTAAAAATGTATAGTTATAGAATAATGTCCCCAAAACATCCCCAAACCCTATTCTAATTTTTAAGCCCGCTATACCAGATCTTGCGAAGCTGTGCTGCTTATATGAGCGGGTGCTGCGTAATTGTGGGATGTAGGACTAAAGCGGGTAGGGCCCCTTGTGTCTATGTATGCAGGGGCTTGCAAGGCTCTGTTGTGTTGAAAATCCAATCCCGCCGCATGCCCGGTGCGTTCATGCGGGATCAACTCTGAAATCAATGCTTTTTTGGCGCTGGTGTCGGAGTGGCAGACATCGTCGCCTAAGTCTTCTAAGTGTTACCTTAGGTCTCCATTGTAGTTCCTTGTTTTGGTTTAACCAATTCTATGATAAGGATTCTAAAAGGTAAGCCCAAAGAGGAACTACAATAGAGACTATAGGTACGTTCTGTACAGCAAGGCTTGCTTAGTCACACCTACGAGCCTTCAAGTACGGTTAGGACTCGGAGTTCAGGACCTCGGAACTCATTCCAATCTGAACTCTCAGCCTTACAGTAAAGATCGGCGCCAGCCAACCAATGGGGTTTAGGGTGTAGGTTTAGGGTTTAGGGTTTAGGGTTTCTAAACCCTAAACCCTAAACCCTTAGGACCACAAAAGGCGTCGACTCAAGAATCGCAACCCTTCCGCCCCTTCCGTCAAGACTCTGGCAAGTGCAGGTGTCCATGCTGACGACACGGCAGGTCGAGGTGCCTGCCCTGAAGTGTTGCCCTGAGGCTCCATATACCTGTATAACTATATAGAATAGACTTGGACCATAAAGGGTTTCGTTTATGATCTGTATGTATGTATGTACATATAAATATTATATATATATATATATACGTATAGAGAGAGAGAGAGGTACCGTAAGGCCTAAGTATATACAGCAGAGGGACATCGCGCCTGAGGGTTTCAAGCAGAACATAAGATGGCAAGGTCAAGGGGGCACGGATGTGACACGGCTGCCAGGAAAGAACTGCACAAGTCGCTGCGGTAGCATCGATCACAAGGGCTTAGGGTTTAGGCTTAAACTGCTTATTGTTCAACCCCGAGGCATCGCCATCTGTTTTCTTGAAATTCAGGAGAACAGAAAAAACCCTAAACCCCAAACCGCTCGATATGAAATCTCAAGTTGTCCAGCCCTTGGCCCCTGTCGAGATCCCTAGCTGCGCAGCCGTAGCCTGCAGACACTCATGATCCCTGAACAAGCCTATAACCCTGAACCCGAAACCCTAAA